CAAGCTCCCCAAACGACCCTCCGCAGGTTTTGAATTCAGGGTTTTCCTTCTCCTAAACCAGTTGCCATCCAAGGCTATAGAACCCAGTCTGTTCTACTATTTACCCATAGCTGCGTGGAGAAGAAGAGGATTCACACCTTTCCCAAGGGTATTAGCAGATGAGTGAGTGTAATGGATTCGACTGGAATTCGAACTCAACTCAACCCGAGCCGCTATCAATTACACCACCAAATTGTAGAAAAGGATTAAAAACTGGTAGCAAGGTGATATAATGAATATGCATACACCTGGGTTCTCCCTCACAGTAATATGATTGTCTGGTGTCAGACATAAATACAGACTGAGGTGGAGGTACATGGACGACGCCTATTGTCTTCTCCTATTGCCTACCAGTACGACGAGGACCAGTCCATTACGGTTATCTGCTAGATTGTCCTACCCGGTTATAGTAGCCAAAACCACTTAGCTACTTTGAACAAATATATCCCTTTCCGGGACATATCACAAGGAAAAAAGCGAAAGAAATGACGGAAGAAGGAAGGAAATATATAAAAGAAAAATTCAAATATTTTTTTATATATTTCCTTCCTTCTTCAATGTGCATTCGGATTTCAGTATCTCACTTTATCTGTTAAATCACTTTCTAGGTGTGTTTTGTACTTTTTTGATTTTGGTATCTCCAATTTGTAATTTGCATGTTGGACTGTTACTCATAACAAATGTTCAAAATGTCTTCCGCTTGCTTTTACACACTCATGCACCCGTCAGATCATTGACTGGCGGACCCTTTCAAATAATCCCACACGATGTCGAATGGTTTCGCAAGACCCCATTCTGTCTTCTTGCATTTGATGCTTAGTCTTTTCTTTTCTCTTTCCCCCATTACATTCACTAGGAATTCTGGTAGGTTCATCAGCACTGTGCCATTTGCATATCTTATGTTGGTAAGTTTGTGGCCGCAAATAAAGAATCCTGGTAGAACTACTAATTCTCTCAGAAACGCCCCATCTCACTGGTGACATAAGAATCCAAATTATGACGGAATATCATATTAATTAATCCAAAACCTACATTGTGGATGAAAAGCACATTCAGTTAAGCATGGTTTGTGCAGGTAGTGTGGTTGTTTAGTTTTTTATCCCTCATAAGTCGAAATTGACGCGAAAGTTCGTAATATAGACATAGTGTCAAGCTTTCTCTAGGTGAAGGACGACTCTGAATTCAAAATTCGGAGGCTCGTCATCTAAAACTTCCTTTTTTTCGATTCTTCTTTTAATCAAATTAAAGGAATAATTAACATTGAGCGTTTCTGAGAGAATTAGTAGTTCTCTCAGGATTCTTTATTTGCGGCCACAAACTTACCAACATAAGATATGCAAATGGCACAGTGCTGATGAACCTACCAGAATTCCTAGTGAATGTAATGGGGGAAAGAGAAAAGAAAAGACTAAGCATCAAATGCAAGAAGACAGAATGGGGTCTTGCGAAACCATTCGACATCGTGTGGGATTATTTGAAAGGGTCCGCCAGTCAATGATCTGACGGGTGCATGAGTGTGTAAAAGCAAGCGGAAGACATTTTGAACATTTGTTATGAGTAACAGTCCAACATGCAAATTACAAATTGGAGATACCAAAATCAAAAAAGTACAAAACACACCTAGAAAGTGATTTAACAGATAAAGTGAGATACTGAAATCCGAATGCACATTGTGATTGCGAAAGATGCCTTCCTAAATCTAAGCAGAGTATTAAAAAACAGAAAAAAATCGTTAGAAACAAAGAAAAGAGTACTGAAATGTTATGTAATACCTGTCCTCCTATATGGCAGTGAATGCTGGACAATTTCTTCATTAATGAAGAAAAGAACTGAAGCATCAGAAATATGTTTCTACAGAAAGATGCTGAGGATGGACCGAAAATAGGAACAAAGCTGTAGTTTTTGAGAAAATGGAAACAAAAAGTAAGCTGATACTTAACATCAGGAAGAGACATTTGTATTTTTTAGAGCATAGTGATGAAGGCTTTGTGCAGAACAAACCACACTTTTTGAAGGACCGAATACAGAGACCCGGTGCGCTCAGAATTCAGAATGTTCTTCTCAGACCAGTTGCTATCCAAGGCTATAGAACACAGTCTTACTGTTTACCCATATCTGTGGAGAGAAAAAGAGGATTCATACCTTTCCCAAGGGTATTAGCACGTAAGTGAATGTAATGGATTTGACTAGAATTCGAACTCGGATCACCGATACCTCAATTTGAGCCGCTATCCACTACATTTCTATGTCTGTATAGAAAAGGAATAAAAACTGGTAACAAGGAAAGAAGCGAAAGGAATGACGGGAAAAGAAATGAAATATGAAAAAGAAAAATTTAAATCGTAGTAAAAGGAAGAATTAACAGTTGATCAAAGAAGAATCGAAAAAAAAAGGAAGTTTTAAACGATGTTGTCTTTATTAAAAGGAAGACGAAATAAGACATTTAAAAGAATAAAAATAATCAGTTTGAAGCAGCGAGTGAATTAAAAAATAAGAAAGAACGAAAGAAGAAACATTGAATTATAAACCCTAAAACAGAAATAAAAACGATGATAAGCAGCCGATAAAAAGAAAGGCTGAAAGCAGACGTTAACATCACAGAAATAAGGAAAGATGGAAAAAAAAGGAAAGAAAGAAATATAAAGTTAAATACACAGATATAAAGACGGAAAGGGTGAGAGAGAAAAAGAAAAAAGAAAAACAGAAAGGAAAAATAAATAAATAAGGGAAGAAAAAAGAAATTAAAGAATAAAAAAGAAAAATAAATATGGGAAGAATAGATAAATTGCAAGAAAGAAAAAAGGAAAAAAAAGGAAGGAAAGAAAGAAAATGAATGAAATAAGAAAGAAAGAAGACGTAAACAGAGATAAAGGAAGGAAGGATGAGAAAGAAATAAAAAGAAAAAGAAAACAAACAAATAAATGAAAAAAATAAATCAATCAATAAAAAGGCCAAATAGCCAAGCAAAAACAAAAAGAAAGAAACAAAAATAGAAAGAATGAAACAAAAATGGAGAGAAGGATAGAAAGAAAAATAGAAGCAAGCATTGAAAAAAATAACAAAAAAAAAGAAGTACAGGTGCAAAAGAATGAAAAATAATAAACAAAAAGAATATTAAAAAAATGAATAAAAACAAAAGAAGAAAAATTAAGAAAAATTGGAAATTAAGAAAGAAAGAAAAAGAAACAATGATAGAGAGAAAATATAAGAAAGAAGGAAAAATGATATAAATAAATAAGGAAGAATAATATAAAAAGAAAGAAAAATGACGTGAATAAATCAGAAAGAAAGAAAAAAGGGACAATATAAAAAAAAGAACGAAAGAAAGGACCATATAAGAAGAAACAAAAGATTATATTAATAAATAAGAAAAAAAGACAGAAAGAAAGAAAGAAAGAAAGAAAGAAAAGACAATATAAAAAGAAATAAAAGATGATAAAAGAAAGAAAGAAATAAAGAAAGGACAATATGAAAAGAAATAAAAGATGTTAAAAAGAAAGGAAGGACGATATAAAAAGAAATAAAAGATGATAAAAAGAAAGAAAGAAAGACAAAGAAAGGACGATAAAAAAAGAAATAAAAGATGATAAAAAGAAAGAAAGTAAGAAAGACATAAAGAAAGGACGATATAAAAAGAAATAAAAGATGATAAAAAGAAAGAAAGTAAGAAAGACATAAAGAAAGGACGATATAAAAAGAAATAAAAGATGATAAAAAAGAAAGAAAGAAAGAAAGGACGATATAAAAAGAAATAAAAGATGATAAAAAGAAATAAAAGATGAAAAGAAAGAAAAAAAGGACAATATAAAAAGAAATAAAAGATGATAAAAAGAAAGAAAGATCAATATAAAAAAGATAGAAAAAAAAGAAATGGCTATATAAGGAGCAACAAAAGATAATATAAATAAATAAGAAAGAAGGAAAGGACAATATAAAAAGAAATAAAAGATGATAAATGAATGAAAGAAAGAAGGAAAGGTTAATATAAAAATAAATAAAGGATGATAAATGAATGAAAGAAAGAAAGAAAGAAAGAAAGAAAGAAAGAAAGAAAGAAAGAGCAATATAAAAAAGAAAGGACCATATAAGAAGAAACAGAAGATTATATAAACAAATAACAAAGAAAGATCAATATAAAAAGAAATGAAAGGTGGTAAGAAAGGAAGAAAGAAAGAAAGAAAGAAAAAAAAGGACAATATAAAAACAAAAGACTATAAATAATTGAGAAGTACAGAAAGAAAGAAATAAAGAAAGACAGAACAATATAAAAAACATAAAAATGATACGAATAAATAAGAAAGAAAGAAGGAATGAAAGAAATCTGATAAAATTTAATCGTAAGTAAAGCAGAAGTAACGCTAAAATCCTCAAAAGGAAAATAAAGAAAAGCTGAATGGAAAAGAAATGAATAAAAAAATCGTTCATTATTTTCTAAATGAAAGTCAGGGTAATTAAAAGAAAAAAAATATTAAATAAAAAAATAAAACAAAATTAACTGAAAAAAAATGTTTAAGATAAGACTGAAAACTGTTTCATGTCAAGTGATGGGAAGAAGGAAAGACAAGACGAGAAAGAAAAACAAAAATATAATGGAGAAGATTTAAAAAAATACAATAAAATAAAATAAGTGGACAATATAAAATATATTTTAGCTAAAATCTCATTCTCAATTCTTCGAATGAAATCATTTATTGCAAGTAAAATATTTTTCCTACAGGGCAAAAAGTAATATTAATCCTAACAATATTTTTTTTTCTCTTTCGTTTCAATTTAACAATTAAATGTACGGAAATTTAATAAAATGTAATTTAATTTCTAAAAGTTATAGCAACGTATTTCTGATTTAGCAAGAACTGACTTTAGGGAAAAATATTTGTTATCAGGAGAAACAAGCAAGGATATTCTTCTTCTTCTTCTTCTTCTTCTTCTTCTTCTTATTATTATTATTATTATTATTATTATTATATTTCGATTGCTTCTATGGTAACACTACCTATTCAGTCTGTGGAAAGACGTAAGTCAAGTAGTGGTGTGTTGTTGTGGTCACATTTCATGATTTGTTTTTTTTCTAACTAGCATAAGATCACTAGCGTTACATAGACAAATTTCTTCTTAGTGTTTTTGCTGTACTTATCGAGATAATTTTTTTGTATTTTTCTCAAACTAGGATTTCAAGGGATTTTTTTTTCAATGTATTGTTGTTGTGTTTCTTTTTTATCATTCCAAGCACACCTATTTTGGCGTTTTCAATTTCGACATGTTTTTCTATTTATTATTATTATTATTATTATTATTATTATTATTATTATTATTGTTGTTGTTATTTCCTTTGATTTCTGGCGTGTACATATATCTTTCCGGGTCCCGCCCAGAGACCTAAGGTTAGAAATGGCATTATGACACTTTCCACAGACAAAAAAAAAAATACATAGATAAATCCCTTCGTAAAGTGTGGGCTGTACTTGTGAGAACAATTTTTTGTCTTTCTTTGAGGCATGGACTTCCAGGAATCCCTTCAACTAGTCTACTGCAATCTTTTCCAACCAAACCTAGGGCTCCAACTACAACGAGGATTGTTGAGGTTCCCATGTGTCACATTTTTGAGATTTCGATTTCATGCCACAGTTTTGAGATTTCGATTACATTATTATTATTATTATTCGGTTAGATGGAGCTCTTCAAAAAAAAAAAGTAAGAAAATGTCTTTATGTCCAGCCACCGGTTGAACAGTGACAGAGAAAAATGACCTTATGTCCAGCCACCGGTTGAACAGCGGTAAAAACAAAAAAAAAATGACTTAATGCCCAGCCACCCTTTGTACGGTGGGTAAAAACTTGTAACTATTTTTATATCTACCGTGAAACATTACATAGAAATTATTGCGAATTTTGAATCAGGAGATCAGACAGAAAGGTTAAAATTGTTCAGGAACGCACTGCTCAAATGGTTAATAAAAGTGAAACATTTTAGATTAATAAACGTTTTTTTAAATTTTTTCTTTACTCTAACATTCTGTCGGATCCCGATTCATATTTGATCTACATTTTATCCTAATTCACACTTTATATGTTCAAGAAAGATTGATTTCTTTGTTTATATATAAGACATTTTTTATGAGCCTGGGATTTTTGCCCACTGGAATTTTTATATCTACCTTAAAATATTATATACCAATTATTTGCGAATTTTGACTCAGGAGCTCAGACAGAAAGGTTAAAATTGTTCAAGGACGCAGAGATCAAAGGGTTAATTAGTAAGACTTGTATTACGAAACCATTGTCTCCAAAAATAAATTCTTAGGCTTTAAAAATATTCTCTGACTATAAATAATCCGCAAACGGTTGATAGAAGCCGTAGAAAATGAATAGATCAAAAAATATTGAAACTTGTGTAATTATCTTCTGATAGAGAAAAGTCAGCCTGAGGTGACGATATCTAAATTTTAATAATAACAAGAATGAATTCAAATTATTTTTCATTGTATTTTGTGCATGTGTTTTGGATAAAAAAGGATCGTTTTTACAATGAAACGTGTAGAGTCTTAACCTGGACCGTCAGGGAAGCTATCAGGCAGTTATATTTTTTTGTAACTATTTTTATATCTACCGTGAAACATTACCTACCATTATTTGCGAATTTTGATTCAGGAGCTCAGACAGAAGGGTTAAAATTGTTCAAGAACGCACGGCTCAAATGATTAATAAAAGTGAAACATTTTAGATTAATAAACGGTTCCTATTTATTCTTTATTCTAACATTCTGTCGGATCCCGATCTATATTTGATTTACATTTGATCCTAATTCGCACTTATATGTTCAAGAAAGATCGATTTCTTTGTTTCTGTTTATATATAAAACATTTTTGCGGCGCCTCGGCGTGGTGTAATGGTTAACAAGTTGGTCTTGCTAAAACTGTTACAACTGAATAGTGAGTTTGATCCTCACTGGGTGCCCCATACTTTCGGCCATGTGCCACATGTAAGCCTCGCTTAGAAAATCAATATATAAGACAGTGGGATTTTTGTCCACTGGAATTTTTATATCTACCGTAAAACATTTCATGCTTTTGTGATCTCAACAAATACTCGCTGTTATTTTTGTGATGTCAACGAATACTCGTTTTCACTTTCGTAATGCTCGTTGTAGTAGAGACTTTGTAATCGCAGTTACACCTATAGTAACGCCGTTGAACAATACTGTTGTCAGACGCCTTCGAATGTCACTCGCACTCATCATCATCTTGCGGCCTCAGTCGAGATTGAACTCACCAATACTTTGATTGGTGTAGTTCATAATCTTGTCAAATAGCTGAATTCTTGATGCTTCGCTAGGGCTATCAAGGGTGTTTTTTATCGTGACACCAACACTAAATGGATTGCCAACCAAGGCTCAGAGAGACTCATTCACCCCTCCTCTAAAAAGCAGGTTTGAATTCAGAGTTTTCCTTCTCCTAGACCAGTTGCCATCCAAGCCTATAGAACCCAGTCTGTCCTGCTATTTACCCATAGCTGGAGGGAGAAGAAAGAGGATTCACACCTTTCCCAAGGGTATTAGCACGTAAATGAATGTAATTGATTCGATTGGAATTCGAACTCGGCTCTCCGATTCCTCAATCCAAGCCGCTATCCATTACTCCACCGTGCCTCCTCGCACTAATAGTACTTGCTCGATAATGTTCGCTCGAATAGTAATCCGTATAATGATCCAAATAGTCTAAAGTAGAGAATAGCGGTCCTTATAGTAATAGAGGATAGAATAGAGGTACTGATCAAAATAGTAATAAAGGATACGATAGAAATAACGATCATTTAGACGTCACGCGACTTCCTACTTATGTATTTCCTCTCTGGTCACGTGGTCTACTTAATTCAATAATGGGATCGCCTGTGTTTGCTCACTGGCGATCTATGTTCAAACTCAGGTGTCGGCGGTGGTACTTTATTCCTATATAACACATACCAATTATTTGAAAATTTTGACTCTGGAGCTCAGGTAGAAGGATTAAATTCATTCAGGAACGCAATGGCTCAAAGGGGTACAGAGGGAAAATATTTTTGACTGTAAGAATTGTTTTTTTTTTTTGTTTTTTTTATAGATAATAATGGTTTAGTGATTAAAGTATTACTAATTAACCCATAGGTGGAGGGAGAAGAGGTGGATTCATATCTTTCCCTAGGGTATTTGCCTGCAAGTGAATTTAAAGAACCCGACTGGAATTGGAACTCCGTTCTCCGATTAACAATTCCAAGCCATTATTCATTACACCACCCGCACATCCAAGATTACAGCATCTCGTGTTCCCAAACTGTCAACTTGAGCTCGCGGTTGCATTTAAGTCCCAATAGACGCTCAAAACACGGGGCCTCGCTGAGAGTTTTGGATCAGATTTGAATATTTACATATTCCGGTGTGTATAACTGCGAATCGAGGGACAAGCAAATCTCTTCAACTGCAAAGCGACACGTAGTTGTGTTAAAGGAAGCACAAGACGGTTGTCCAATTAAATTATGGAAGAACATACAGGTTATGTCTGAAGGTAGTAATAGATGTTGTTGATCATAATAAATGCTCAAGTTTCGCTTAGATTTGATTTAAAAAAAAATTAAGCAGTTCAGTCTTGCATTAGATTTGAAGACAAAGTCTGTCGTATTTATTTTCGTACTATAACCCTCGGGAAAGTTACGAATCTATCTCATTTCTCTTATCTAGAGTTTGAATTGTAGCGTAGATTGGCTTCCCTATCATAAACTCTGAATTCCAGACCGTAGAGAAAACAGTGAAACAATGCCAAAACCTTTCCCAATAAGTAAAAATAAATCATGGCTAATATAGAAAGGAAGATGGGGAGAAGCATAATGGTTTTTGATTGATTCATTTTTTACGGATTATCAACCCATTTCAAGTTATTTAAAGCAAGAAAATGTTTTTAGATGGTAAGAATAGTTTTTTTGAAGATAATAACGATAATGTAAGTTCTAATAATTAACCCATAGCTGGGGGCGGAGAAAGCTAGATTTTTTTTTTCAGTTTCTAAGAATTTTTTTTCAGATAATAATGAATCCGTGACACAAGACTTACTAGTTAACCTATAGCTTGAGGCGGATTCTTACCTAATAAATATTTTATAAACAAACAAGAAATTATAATGTGGCTATAAAGTGGGGAACTAATTCTATATCACAATCAATATATAAACAGATCCCTCACTTTGTGAACACCGTAGCTTCTATATATTTATATTCCAGAGAATGTAAATAAATCTAAAAGGCATGCCTATGTAGCTAATCAGTATTTCATTGATTGATTCGTTTTCTACGGCTTATGAACAAACAAGAAATTATAATGTGGCTATGAAGTGAGGGACGAATTCTGTATCACAATCTATATATAAATTGATCCCTCTCTTTATGGTCAAGGTAGTTTCTATACATTTCTGTTCTAAAGAATGTAAATAAATCCAAAACTCATGCCTGTGTAGCTAATCAGTATTTCATTGATTGATTGACTTGTTTTCTACGGCTTATTAACAAACAAGAAATTATAATGTGAATATAAAGTGGGGGACCAATTCTATATAAAAATCAATATATAAACAGATCCCTCACTTTGCTACCACGGTAGTTACTATACATTTATATTCCAGAGAATGCAAATAAATCTAAAAGACATGCCTGTGTAGCTAATCAATATTTTATTGATTGATTCGATTTCTACGGCTAATCAACAAACAAGAAATTATAGTGTATATAAAGTGGGGGAACAATTATATATCAACTGATCCCTCACTTTGGGACCACAGTAGCTTCTATATATTTATATTCCAGAGAATTGATTAATTCGATTTCTACGTTTTGTCAATACTCCAGGTTATTTAAAGCTAGAAAATATTTTTATATTGCAATTTTTTTATATTTTGAGATAATAATGATTTAGTAATAAAAATTACTTACTAATTAACCTG